AAACCAGGGAAGAAAAATCACATACTTCAAAAGAAATCTACATTTGTTGTTATCACATTTTGTAATCACAGAAGGGAGACAGTAGGCAGCACTGTATAACCTTCTTCCTGTTGAAATGCAGCAGAAAGTATATCCTTTTGTTTATCAAGGTTTTCCTTTTAACAATAATTTATGCTTATAGTGCAGGAACAATTATATTTTTCAGGTATGAACGTCTCCCTCTATCTCTTGTATGGTGCTTGCTGCCTTAAATAAACAATGAACGATTAAAATAATAAATGAAATAAAAATGATGAACAATTTCCTTCTACATTTATAGCTAAAGTTACATTAGTAGACATTAGACATAAGGCTCTGATACACATTCAAATTAAAGCTTCATATATAATCCTGTTGAATTACATGCGGGGCAGAGTAATGCAGAGAAGAACTGTTTTTCCTCCAGGGAAGCATATAAAAGTCATTTAGTATTTGTGAGTAGGTTTCACTTAAAGGTTCTCCTTATCTATTTGAGAGTCGTGGTATAAAAATATATCTAGCTGTTCTCCCTGAACTTCAGTTAAATTGCACTGTAGTCTCCAGCATTTCTTACCTCCTCCCCAGATCACTGTGACTAGATAGATTATGGGCTCCAAGTTAACAGCTCACTTGTCTTTTTGAAACACAAAATATTTCACCTTTGTTTTTGCTGTTTAAGCACATAAATATTTTTACTGATCTGAGATGTAAATCATCACACCCCACAGCACTTTATGCATTGTGATTTGACATTTGTGAACATATGGTAATTACACTGCATGCCTTGTTCTAAGCGCAGTTCCCAACCACCAGCTGAAGCTGCTACTACTGTATAATTGGTTACAGGCTGGGGAAATATTTTGTTGAAAGCAGCTATGTTTTCTTCTTTGTCCTGTGCCATAAGCATTGTAAGCGCTATCCTGGTATTGATCTGTGAATGAAAGATGACAGGATATGGCCTCAAGGTGTCAGAAACGCATCCTACCACTGACTTCTAGATACAACTGCCAGAGTTCAGTAAGAATTTTGTGTGCAGAGTGACAGAGTATGGTCCAAAGTGTACACAAACTGTATCAATGACTGAGAGCCCTTTCAACTGTGGGGACAGCCTGTCAGAAAGATGATATCAGATATTATTTTATCTGCAAAATGTTATATTGCAGAATTAAACCTGGTTATTTTACCTGTGCTTAGCAAACTCAACTTTTAAAAAAAAAAAGAAATATATAGAAGTTTTACAAAGTGCTAATAAAATAAGTATTTTATGCTTAACATTGTTTTCTTTGCTCTGATGCACATTGTCATCTCTGTATATTTCTGATTATACATTAACCAAGTCAGTCTCAAATGTTCAGGTTTTGTTTTGGGAAGATCATTTTTTTCCCAAGTCTGAGCCAAAATCCCATAGGAGAATCAAATAACCAGGGAAAGGGCCTGAAGGACTCAGTGTACTGAAAATACTAAAATGAGAAGAAATTTTTAAAAAATGTACCAAAGATAATTTTGCCCAAAGCTCACCACATAGTCTTCACCTTAAAATTCCATGGTATTACATACCAAGAAAACAAATGTAAATATCCATTCTTCATAGGGTTTTTTTAAAAAAAGGTCTTTATTTAAAAAGCCAGATTTGAACTGAGACTGAAATTCAAGCTTCATATATTACATGGTTAGTAGTTCAAACTCTACATTTTGCTAATTTTTGAGGAATGTGCAGAATGAGAATGTAAGTTATTATATTTCCACTATTCTTATGCATAGATGCAACTCAGATTTGACCTTTCCTTAAAGTATAGCAACGTATGTTAAGCTAATTCATGTTCTAGAAGAAAAACATATCATTGTCTTTTAAATATTTAAAATTTAAACAAACTTTTTTTTTAGTTTGGTGCTAGAAATTTTCAGAACCACTAGTCCTTTGCAAATAATAAATGTACAGTCAGGAGTGATCAAAAAATAATATGGGGTTTAAATGTTAAATATCCATACTTTTGAAACCAGTACTGTAGTAAGGACAGTGCCAGCAGTGTGCTGGCACCAGCTGCCCTCACACAGGGAGCACCAAATCAAATGTAAGTAATGTTATGTAATGACATGTAGAACAGTGTTCTGTATATGACCTGCACTGGACACCAAAATGTTTGCCTATGGCTTTGTTTGAAACGTATGTAATTCTGCATAATTTCTTGCCAGTTGAATCTGTGACCTGTTTTCTGTCTCTAGTTGCAGCGGTGACCTGTCACGTAGACTACAGTCACCATAGAAAATGACCATAAGTTTCCTATCTCCTTGCAATGAGGTGTCTGCAGGGGTCTGAAAACTACTGGCCCCAAGATTAATCCTTCCTTAAACTCCACTGAAACAGACTAGGAAGATCCCTAGGACTTTGGGGATGGCAGACCATCCAGCCATTGTGATCCTTCCCTATTTGAGCTGAGCCTTCTACTCTACCACCATAATGTGGAGGATGACCCTTAACTGTTCTGCACAGGGTTATCTCCTCCATACAATGATATTATTATTATTGTACAATTGCTCCTATGTATAAGTTGACTGTTTTTTACTGTGTTTTGGAGGGAGAAAAGGGTCAATTTATAATTAAGAACCTACTGAAATCATGGCAGAAATGAAGTGTGTGGCAGCTCCTTTAATCTTGCAGATTACCCTGTGCAATTTCCCGTCCCCACTGCCAATTGGCTGAGGGACCATCTGGAAGATAAAAATGCTGCCATATTTAAAACCACAGTTTTCACCTCCCTGCCATTCAGCAGTGAACGGTGAGACCCCTCTGCCAATTGGCGGAGGGGAGGCAAGATTAAAAGAGCTGCCCACTCCTGCCGTGAATTCAGAAGGTCCCTATTTATAAACTCAACAATACAGTATTTGACATCAAAGCCATAACATGTAACCTAGGAACTGAGAGAGATGCATTTAAAAAAAATATACAGAAGTGATTTAATAAATAAATCAAAAACTTTTGTCTTCCACTTCAAAGGGGTTGTTCAGCGTATACATTTGCTCATATGCCACCCACTCCGGTAAAATATTTAATGCAAAGGTAGCTAAAAAGTCCCCACTGCACAATATGGTCAACTGGTTCTGAGGCCAAATTCTATAACTCAAATAAAGACCACAAAGTTTCCCCCTTTCTGGGGAAAATATATATTACATGCATGCCTTGTGTTAAGCCCAGTTCCTAAGCACCAGATGCATCTGTTACTTCTGTATAATTGGTTACAGGCTGGGGAAATATTTTGTAGAAAGCAGGTTTGTTTTCTTCCAAAGGTTCCATTCTATATCCACTATATATAGTATGTTATATATAATTCTCCAATACACCCACTTATTTATATGGTGGGGAAGGTTGAAAGAAGTTTAAGTCTTTGATTGTCACAACTCTAAGTTGAGTCCCTTGTATAAGACTACTTGATTCTTCCACTACCAGCCATGACAGACTAGACAGGAAGTTGAATCTTCTTGTGTCCAGGAATAAGAAACAAACCCCCAAACCCAGACATTTCCAGGAGCAAGTAGGAATATTGTTTGGTTTTACTGATACTTTTTAATAACAAGAGACTATGTTCATAAAGAGTAAATAGCTCTTCATTTTTCCCCTATTTATTCCCTAGAGAAAGGTGGCTGGAAAAAGGAAGAGTTAGCATTTGGTTTGGTATAGCTCCACTGAAGAAAATACTAATGTCTCAATAGTTAGGATGGATGCCTACTCTTTTCCTGGGTTCTACAGGAATTTTTCTGCCATCAGTATCATTATTTTTATATAACTGTATAATTTTCATGTCCTTTTAAAGATTAAAAACTTGGTTTCCTTCTCCTAAGTTAGAAGAAAAGGTAATGAACCTAAAAACTAGGTTTTCAGGCACACGTATTAGTTTGGCCGCTACTCCAACATTTCCCTTTATATTTCACTCTATCTACTTCGCTGAGGCATGAGCTAGCTGGTCACTAAAGCTGTAACTGAAGGAAAGCCAGCACCATGGCAAATGATCTAATACCTGATACCCAGACAGAACAAGAAGTGAAGTGACCTCTTTCAAGTGGATTGACTTTGATGACCTGAAAGAACATTTTCCTGTTTAAGTGGGAACTTGTATTATGGCATTAAGTGGGTCCAAAATATAAAGTCCCCATAATATAAAGTAATCTGTATAGCTGTACAAACACAATCAGCTCTCCTGCACTCACTGAAGAGATAATAATGCAAGAGAATATCTTGTATCATCTCTCAGGCTGAAGTAGCAGGAAATATTTCCAAATGCACCTATGCTGATGCAGTTGAATCATTTAGAGTTTATACAAACTGAGCAAAATAACCACTGATAAATATTGCAAATTTACATTTGCAAATACAAATGTTAGTTACTAATCCCATTACTCTTAGCTTTTAATTATGGAAACATACAATCACAGTAATGATTAATCACAGTAAATGATTTCTAGGCTAAGATTTCTTGTAAATTAGTTTACTGATCTTTGTACAAAAGAATTTTACTTGTAAGACATTTAATTATACTTTGAAGAATATCATAAGCTATAAAAATGATTGACAGTAAATATAGCATCACAGTAAAATAAAATGTCTCTTTATCAACTATAAATATATCAAATGAATGAATTATAACATTTTATATATCTCTGTATTTTAATCTAATCATGAAGCAAGGCTTTCATTATAGTTTTCTCTTATTTATTTTCTTAATTTGACAGAATTTATGAAGCACCATAAATACATTCTACTTAGGATTCCTTCTTACTTTGATATCGACTTCTCCAGATGTCTTATTCACATAGCACAAGTCAGATAAAACAATTTGGGCTTGAGTTCAATACAGTGTTATTTTTTTCTGAAGGTCAGCCCATGATCAGACAGGATCAGTTTCTCATTATTTTCTATTGCCACTCCAAACAGTCTTTATTGAAGTCTTTCAAGCAATGTGTGACCTCTGTTTCAATACTTCTCATAGATTTCACAGGCTGTCACCACCACTCAGACATCACTAACACAGACAACCGTAATGGAAACTGTAACTATGGTGACCACCAGAGAGCAAATCCTCGTTAAGCATGCCAAAGAGGAACTCCCACCACCACCACCCCACAAAAAAAGGCAGCTCGTTGTGGATTCAGAAAGTAGGAAGAGGTGAGAATTACTAAAGGTTGCGGGGATATAAATGATAAGATGTGATTAAAATGCAAAAATTAAGTATTGTTATTTGAATGCAGAAACTTGCTGCATAATATATTAGTTCTGTGAGAAAAAATATTGTAGTATTCCTGTAAGATTGTAACTGATTAGCACCTTCATTTTAGCAGGCTGAATTAAAGTGTTGTTTGAACAGTTAGTCCAGCAAATGCACCACTAAATACTATTAGTTACTGTTCCACTCTTTCTGTATTACTCTTTTGATAAGTTAGAGAAACACCACATTCCATATTAAAACTTTGAAGTAGAAAATGTTTGAAAAGTTTTCTGTTAAATTTAAAAGCAAAAGAAACAACCCCCTCCCCAAACCTCTCCTAAAACCTAAGAACTGTGTTTTTGAATGCCAGTGTTTCAAATTCAAATTAAAAAGTCATGTTGTGTTTTTTCTGGAAAGTACATCAGCCCAAGTAACAATAATTTGACAAGACCAGATTTTGTTTTCAATTGCATTCATGTAATATCATTATCTTAAGAGTTTACCTTCTGAAACCTAAGTATATTGAGGGTTTATATTGGTCCTTCACTTGAAATGAAGAGCTTAATCCAACAGTTGCTGACACTAGGAGAAAGGTTCACAATGACTTCAGGTGCTGAGCTAATAATTGTTTAAAATATATTTGTGAATGAAAGGTACTCACAGCTCTGTCTGTTTTGCCGATGTAGAACTTATTTTTTCACTGAGGTAAACAGGCATGATTCTGAATCCTGAGTCAGGAGATTCAGAGTGGATCCATAGATTCATAGATTCATAGATGTTAGGGTCGGAAGGGACCTCAATAGATCATCGAGTCCGACCCCCTGCATAAGCAGGAAAG